CCTGTACAGGTATCCCAGTTTACTCCAGGTAAGTTGAAATCTCCACATACTACTTTGTAGTCGAAGTCCAGCGTGGCTACATGCTCTAGTATTTCTGCAATAGTTATATCAGTCATTTCAGGGCTATTGGGGGGTCTGTATATACATCCCACGAGAATTTTACTTTCGTTTGTGTGGATGCTTATCCACTTAGATTCTGGGAGTTTGTCAGTATTTGGGTTATTGAAAGTATTGGAGTTAGTGGATTTATAGGCATATATTAAGCAACCGCCTCCTCTTTTGTCAACTCTATCGTTCCTATAGATGTCGTAGTTGTCTATTACTAGCTTTGTGTCAGGTATATCAGTAGTAAGCCAGGTTTCAGTCACCATTATTAGTGTTGGCCGTTCTATGTATGCCAGGCAGCGAAGCGTTGTTATTTTATTAAGGAGAGATCTAGCATTCAGGAGCATAATTGTTAGTAAACCAGAGTTATTGGAGGAGAGGTTAACATGGTTACTTGTCACTATCCCTACGTTATGTTTGGAGGGGCTCTGAGGTGAGACAGAGTCAGTGTGTGTACTATTTCCTGGATGAACTGTGCAGCGAGTGGGGCTATTGTTTGCTGCAGCCGAAAATAATCCTGTTTTTTTTTTTAATTTTTAGATTTTTAGATTTACAACTTGTTGCATATTTTGACTATTAGCATCCGTGAGTCGGCATCTGCGTTAATCTACTGATGATATATGGTCTGCCTTGCAATTTGCGTTGTAGCTTGCTGGACCTAGGTACCCTGTGTTAAGATTACCCTGGCAGTTGTACCTCATGGGGCTTTCATAGCCGTATGCATATTGGCTCACATCACATGTGTGAGTGAAGTTATTGAGGGGATCAAGTGTCGACCTGTTCTCATTATGTTGATGAGGTTTAACATAGATAGTGCGAGAGTTTGGACGAGGATTTTCGTTAATATGGTGCCTATATGAGTCCCGTTTAGTGCTCCATATATCCTGAGGATCCATTCTACGTTGCATTCCCAAGTTATGTGCATTGTTAGGCATGTTACTTCTAGTTCGGGAAGGGGTATTCTTTCTCACATGCTGCGTGACGTCTTTGGGAATGTGCTTCGTTACCCATGCTTTGTCATTTTTTAGACTGACACGCTGCTTATTAGACTTATTACGAGGGAGGTATGTCGAAGTCTGGGGTGGGACTCTGGGTTTTGTGGTCTTTTTTGCGGTTTCTACTGAGGGACTCTCTGGCTTGGATCCAGATTGAGAGTGGTCTGCCAGTAGTTTCTAGTCAGCCATAGTTTTCGCGTCTATGTCAACCTCATGTAGGTCAGCAGGTTTTCGAGATGTGCTCTCGTGCACTCTAAGATTGCACCCAGTGGCACTGCTCTTACTGAGTTTTGGGTCGCTCTTACTTGCCGTTTTTTCTCCTAACACTATACACGTGACCTGCTGTGCTTCAGTGTCCGTCGACACTTTAGCACTGATACCAGATGTATTTCTCAGTGTTGTCAACTTTGTATCGATTTGCAGCCTTCAGCAATGAGTGCTGGACTGACTTTATGGGCTCGCTATCCGGTACATTATACACTATTGCGTTTTGTTTTGAAGCCAGCCTTCTAACAACTTCGCTGGATAGAAAGTTGATGGCGTTTTCTAACTCCTTCGCACTTTCTGAGTCAGTAGGAGTCATTCTAGAGGTCATATTAAAAAGCTTTAGGATTGTAGGATCCTGCAGTTCCTTTTTCATACGTGAGATAGTTTCGGGTATACATTCTAGTGAACTTAATTTCGTTTTTAATTCATTTACCTGTAGCTGCATCTCTTTAATTACGCACGTTAAGTAAGAGCGCTCTACTTTTTCAGACAGAACATCTTCCATCTGTATTACAGGGGTCAGAGTTATGTTCGAGGCTTTTATGTTGGATGAACTACTAATAATATGGGATGGTAATGTGTTATTAATTGCATGGAGGATTTAATCATGAGCTGACATCAGTTAGAGAACCACTGGAAAATCTGGGAGTACTGGACAGCCGTTTCGTCCTAGTTTGGGACTCCTCAGCAGTACGCACCCACCGGGATTCGAACCCAGGACCTTCTGGTTACAAGGCGAGTTCGTAGACCATTGAGCCACTGGGACCCGATCCAATGGTCCTTGAATTCTAACTTCTGCCAGTTCACGACATAGCGCGACCACTTCGCAATGTCTTCTTCGATGAGTTACTGCCTCATCTTCGACCTGCTGTACCCTACTGGTCACGGCTTCCCACTAGAACCCCAGGTTAACTGCCTGAATAGGGCCAGTCACTAGTGAGCATCAGATGAATTTTCAAGTATTGGTTTTTGTAGGGATTTTGTTTGATTGCATGGAGGATTTAATCATGAGCTGACATCAGTTAGAGAACCACTGGAAAATCTGGGAGTACTGGACAGCCGTTTCGTCCTAGTTTGGGACTCCTCAGCAGTACGCACCCACCGGGATTCGAACCCAGGACCTTCTGGTTACAAGGCGAGTTCGTAGACCATTGAGCCACTGGGACCCGATCCAATGGTCCTTGAATTCTAACTTCTGCCAGTTCACGACATAGCGCGACCACTTCGCAATGTCTTCTTCGATGAGTTACTGCCTCATCTTCGACCTGCTGTACCCTACTGGTCACGGCTTCCCACTAGAACCCCAGGTTAACTGCCTGAATAGGGCCAGTCACTACCAATACTTGAAAATGTGTTATTAGACGAGCTGGTGCTATTTTCTGAATAAGTGGTGTTCACACGAACACGCTTTTTAGAATTTTTAACCATCGTTATTAAAGATCAATTATTAGTAACCAATAAATGAATATAAACGAAAACACGTGCAAAAGCGTCACCTAATTCGAACGTACCGGGCGACCATGCCCGTACAATAGGTATGTTCCTGCATAAACAGGGAGAAATATATTACTATTATTATTAAAACAATATTTATGCACGCCTATACAATTGGTGTATCCTACATAGCTAGGAAAACAATGTGCCTTATTATATTATCTTTACTAAATATGCTTATTAATCTTATGTGTAACTTATCGAATTGATGATGCCTGTAAACTGGCGTCCCTCATGTAAAAAAATGAGAATATATTTTATTATTATTATTACTGCTCATTCGGTCAACAAAACTTCTTCAGTTATTAGTAATGTGGCATCTAAACAAATCGATAGTTACCACTGTTACCACTGTTCGACTCAGCAGTGCTGTCCACATCCGCCAAATGGTGGCTGTGTGATCAGGCTGATCTTCACAATTTAATTTGCACATTCGTCGTGGCAGTTGACAGTGCAAACATTATTGACTTATGAAGTGAAAGACAATTTATTCATGACTGTCAAAATGCGTACATTTACAAAACTCTCAATACCACAAACACCCATATTCAAAATCTTGCCAAGACCACTATCTCTCAATATTTTCCCTTATTTTCCTGCCATCCAGTATACCGTGGCGAGGTGACACCTCCGAATTAAAAATGTTCCTCTACAGCCTTCTCCTTCTGTACAATTGTTCGCATCAGGTAATCCACTATTCTGATGTAGGGTCTCTACAACATGGTATTATATGGCCATTGAGGTGTTTTAAGTGATTAAGGAACTCAGAAGGGTGGGACGATCAACCCAGTAGGATTTACATCTTCTTTCTGATTTTTGAGGGTTCCTCTATCTATTGAATGATGGATGCCCTTCCGTTTGTTTGAACAGGTATCCCCGTTTCACTTGCCATACTGTCAGAAATAAATGTTCGTAAACACCATTGGCCTTTTAAGATATTACGGGTCGTTGATTGGTAAATGGTGCAATCATTTTTATAAAAAGTCGGTTGGCAAACTAACATGGAAGGAGTATATTACCTAACCAAGTGACTCACTCGCATGGTAAGAGATGATAACAAAATTGTAGCAGTGATACTTGAGTGAGTAAAGATGCGTAAGTGGATATCATAAATTTGAAAGTTTCTTTTTACACTGTTCTATCAACTCATGTATGAAGGGTCTACAACAGTTTAAAAGACCATTTGGCGGCTAAAGGGAGGGAAACAAGCGTACTAAACTGTTACTCAATCAGGAAAACCAAACTCCTGAAGTAAGATGTCCTCAGAACACTGGTCGACATCCACAAAGTTTTTCCGATGTGGTCCTTAATAAAGTACATTTGTCAGTATAATCCGTCAGCATCAAGCGTTGTAACAGCAGTGTTAGTATCAATGAAATGGATATGCAAGTTAGGTTGGTAGGTGTACATACTCGATTGAAGACTTGATACCTTCATGATTACAGGCTGTTGAAAGACTTAAGTCAGCTATGTTTAGTTGCCACATGAACTATGTGGATAGCATAAATATTTTGCTGATACTGTGGGAAAAAAATCATAGGAAAGCCTTAAAAAATCTTCATATTCAATCTGTAGATGCTTTTTGACCAAACCCTTGGCTCTAGGATGTTATGATAAGTGTGAAATATCTAACACTGGTCAAAGTGGCAACTCCCACACTAAGTCGATTCATCAAAAACTAAACATAACTAAGGATATCCAGGGTATTTTTATTCTTAGTCAAGATAGTGCACCTAAGCTGAAAGCAGGTTAGGTATGTGTACATGTGCATCAGCGTGTAATCTAAAAGAAATCCATGGGGTGCACAATCAGCTTCAGAAATAAATTGCTAAATCCCTAAAAAGACAGGGAAAAGCCCTTGTGTATATTAAATAAAATCAGAAACAGGGTTTAGGCATTAAGGCAACATTTTTTGTTTAGCTACACTAAACAGCCGGCCATACTGAACGAAGGCCGCCATTTTGTTTCGTCCTTGAAAGTTGTTGGTAGATTCGTCTTGGTTTTTGGTAGTAGTATGGATAGTGCTGTGACGCCTCACCTGTAATGTGATAAAAACTTCTTATTACTATCCTTAATTACACTCTATACTTAAGTCTCGGTAAGACATATCGTTAACAATTATACTCGTGCTGGCCATAGATGTCAGAATCAGAAGACAATTCCCAGCTCAATTTCTTTAACTTCGGTGCATGGAATAGTGGATGTAACATGGAACTAATCAATAATGATATTTGGCCCTTAAATTCAGGCCCGTTTCTTGCTCATTCAAAACTTAGTGGCCTAGGTAACATTTGTGTATACTTGTGACAATCTTAGGTCTTTCAACTGTGAATAAGCAACCAGAGAAATTATCTGGAGATTCCAAATTTGACAGTCCAAATTCCCGTAAGTTATTTGTATACTTATTATTTGCAGTCTCTTGGTCACCAAACAACCCTCTTTTGCGACCTCCAAATAAAATGTCCATTTGGTCAAGTGGTTTGCCCTCATCGGACGTGAAACCTTCAGGAGCTTCCAACCCATTATGGGGAAATTTTAATAACCAAAATGACCCACTTGTTTCAGAAGATGTAGGTTCTTAATTTACTTTTTCTCTAATAGTATTTTAGATATGGGACTCATCCCATGACCCAATATTTCACATGCCTAGAATTAGTAATGAATTAGATTCTTGGAAGCTGGACCATCCTCAGTGTCTTGGATCGCCAACAGACGCGCCTACAACTGTCGGGGATCCTGATCTCGTTAACAGTCACAGGACTTTGGAATTACCTCAATCCAACAACAACAGTAGTAGCAACCTCCCCGACGTTACCGCAATGCTTTCTGGATTAACTGTTACGCCCAGAAATTCTGAAGAGTCAAGTAAGTGAGCAAGTATGCGCATTATGCACTAAGCAGCAGCACTTCACTAAGTCATCCCACCCAAGTGTTTTTTTACTAGGCTTCCTATAGTCCGAATTTCTTATACATGGAAACTATTCCTATGGGTTTTTCGAAAGTCCTATATTGTTTTTTTTTGATATATATTACTATGGATTTCGCATGATTACTTCTGACCGGGTTAGCAGTTACCTACCATTCTAATATTTAAGTCACTGTTGTATTGATTGCTGAGATTCAGTTTGCTAACCTAGCACTCAATTGATGTTTGAAACCTGATATGAGTTACTATTGATTAGTGTGTCTACTTGTTACACAGGTTGGTGACTGAGAATGTATCTTTAAGTGACACCGGACCCGGTTTACTGTGGTTAGTTATTTCAAAGCTATGTCAATAAGTGTCTCACGCCTATCCAATTTTATTATACTTATTGTTTTAAATGTATCGGTGAAAACGAAGAGCTAGGATAGGTGTCTTATTTTGGTTTGGAGCTCAAGATGAGCGAAGAGGTTGAACTATCCAACTATGAGTTACCGGACATACTGGTCTTAAGTTCATTGTTAGGCTAGGCAAATTATGAAGGCTACTAGAGAATTCGTAGCGACTACGAAGAAAGGCTAACCGAAGTCGACGACCAACAACAGCTATTCAACACAATCCAATGAAAGCACGCGTTCATACAGGAGAGTATATTAATGTATGTAAACGATAGAGACAGCTACAAGTCAGATTTTCTTATATGGTGCGAAGATGTTTCCCAATCTACATGGAATTAACTCAACACACGACGGTGATTTATGTACAGCAGACCTGCTCAAACGACCGAATACAATATCCCCCTGGGATCTGATTATAGTCTTGCTCTTTCTTAAATGTGTTTAAAATCCTATTCGATTCGCATAAGTACAAGTTTCTGGGTGTGTTGATTGATTCATTTTACGATGAATATGTCTCAGTGGCGATTATGAGGACTGCTCACTCCGTTCGTTAGTCAGTAACTACCCTAGGGGACACCAACTGTTGTATTATTGGTAGGAAAACACAGATTTCTGCTTTGGATTCCTTCCACGATGCAACTGTCTGTCTTCCTATGATTCTTTCAATTCACTAGTAACCCACCTTTAGTACTGAAAACTTCCCAGTAAATAGGTAGGTAGCGCAACCACTTTTATCCTATCTTTAAACAGTGAGTCACTGTCGCCCAGTCCTGGAGCAGCTAATTACTTGTTACAGTACATTAACTCTTGTCGGGGTCGCCATCAGGGAGGATAATGCCACCTGGGTGCCCTAGATGAACTATGCCTCAGCAAAAAATCAATCAAGATGTTTAAGTCAACCACACTCCATCCATCACATTGGTAAATATGGACGCTGGTCGTCATTTCGTAATATCATTGACATAGTTCGGACACATACCTGGGTAGATTGTGTTGCTCACCATCACATACTTTTGTACTACTCTGGGCTAAACATGATCATAATATCTATACACAACATCTATATATCTATACACTGCTGCTCACTGTCTCTATTATGCTTTTCTTGTACTTTCTTCTCTTGCTTCGCATGCTACACGGAGTGTGGCGACTTGAACAGCCGCACATTTGTGCAAAGTTCTATATCGAAAACAGACAGACACAACATCTATATCTCTGGGGTCAAATGACCTTTAGATCGAGAGATGGTGAATGTTGGTCACTAGCAATGGCGAAGTAACCAGTCATTGAAGGAGTGATTTGCTGTTCACCATTCCCCTGGCTTAATTTGCATCTGGTACATGTCTGCGGAAAGTGACCTGCCTAAGTGATCTCTTCCCTATTGTTTCGTAGTTCTTAAATGCAGCAAACCATGGTTGTTTTACTGCCAGTCGACTCGTTTTCTGTAAACACTTCGGCCGCTTAATCAAGTCATTGCAGATATACTCAGGCTAGAGTTTGTTCAGAGTTTAGTGAATTGTATTCAGTCGTATTATAAACTTTATGGGAATGAGGTAACGGTCAAATACAGTTACTTAAAAGATATAGGATGAGGTTTTGTGTTGTAATACTTTGATAAAGCTGTTAGCATTAAATAGCGAAACGTCAGTAAAAACAATATCGTTTTGTTTTCCATTCATTCATTGGGAAATACAAAAACCCTTATTATAATGAGGTTTTGTGTATTTAAATGTAGTTGAATCTTGATTTATATAATAAAAAAGTGTATTTACGATTTTACTTTTTTTCTTTCCAGCTGCTCATAATAAAACAGCCATAGGCTCTGCCAATGAAAATGATACAACAGTTCAGGCATTTACAACAGAGCAATTGTGTGACCGATTAATCAATACGAATGAAGGTTGGGGTCGAAGACCTATTGACCAAGCAACACCATGGGAACCACTGGATTCAAAGTTGAATGACCAAATAAATCGTAGTGGTATTACCACACCTACACCAGGTGCATGCTCTTCTGGATATTTGTCTGGGAATTACAAGGTGGCCTCACAAGCTCACACATCCGATTCCAATGTATGGACTAGTGAACCACCAACGGGACAGGGATATGGGAAATGCATTATGAGAGCTTAGGTGGTCGTTCAGCTGCTTGGCAAACAGAGTCACAGTCTTCAGTCTTTCGTGACATGCCATCTGTTGCTCAAGTTAACCCTAACCATATGATGAATTCTAGTCTTAATATTAATCCTCGACCCGCTCCACAACTGCAGCATAATCGTCCTGGTGATTGTCGAGAATGGGAAGATAATGAGAATAGTAAGTCTCAAAATTTTAACCTAGTTTAAAGATGATCTGACTCATGATTGTCTTCTTTGCGTAGGAAATTAAGTGATTTGTCTTACTTTCAGCATTTATTGATGTATATGGAAACCAAACAGTTAAAACACGTTGATGTAGTTTGCTGTCATATGTGGGGGCCGAGTAACAGTTTCAGTGTAGCTATCCAGAGTTTTCCCATGACCTAATAATTTTATTTGTTACTATATGTGCTACTGCTGTAATATTTCCAATTTTTCCTGCTCTTCCTTAGGGTTGTCTAAGAACTGGAATGTCGGCTTATCAGGCCCTCCCGACCGCAACAATTTGTTGTGGAACGCGCCTATAGGTGTGACAGATACTGAAGACCAACTCGGTGGAGGTGCGTTGCACAGAAGACAGCCAGCTACTGTTTCCCATCAGGAAGGTAAGTGCTTAGTATATGCTGTTTTTGGTGAAATCAGAATAAGCTAGCCAATTGTCTGTCTGTCTGTCTGTTTTCGACATAGAACTTTGCACAAATGTGCGGAAGTTCAAGTCGCCACATTCCGTGTAGCACGCGAAGCAAGAGAAGAAAGTACAAGAAAAGCATAATAGAAACAGTGAGCAGAGGTGTGAGACAAAGGAGGAGTAATAACGAAGAACAGTATAGTTTCATTGAAGATCATAAGTCACAGGGAGTGGATGCATCTACGCCATTGAGAACGATCTTTGAGCCATGTCACCAATTGTTTCCAACCATAGATTTTTACCGTCCCGAGGACCCCAGCCTGGAAGTCTACACCGTCCTACGTGGCTTAGACCAACTGTTGTGGATTTCATTGACTGATGCCAAGTTTTTGTTTGACCACCGCTAGCTTTTTTCCAGCCTGACCCTATATCCGCTAACATAGCTCGTCGAGGGAGGCGATGACTTGGCATACGTAACACGTGTCCTAACCATCTCAGTCTTTGTAGCTTCACGACTTCGTCGATTGATTTCCCCTGTTTACCTAGAACTCTACGCCTAACCTTCATGTTGCTCACCTTATTATGCCACTTTACACGGGAAATAGAGCGCAGGCACCTTTGATCAAAGGCAGCTAGTCTTTTCATGTCTTCCACTCTCAGTGGCCAGGTCTCACAACCATGAAGGAGGAAGGAGCGGACTGATGAGCAGTACACCCGCCCTTTGGTCGGTAGTCGAACATCTCGTCTACGCCAGAGTCGACGTAAACTAACAAATGCGAAACGAGCCCCTGTATTCGTGCTGAGATTTCGTCAGAGATCAGCCCGTTGGCACTGGCTGATGGTACTTCCCAAATAAGTGAAGCGGTCAACGTGCTCTACCACTTCACTTCCTATTTTTAAACTAGGCGTCGATGTAGTCCAGTCCTGTAACATCATCTTGCATTTGGCGGGAGCGAATCGCATGCCAAACATTCGTAGATTGCAGCTCAAGGTGTTTAGAAGACTCTGCATTTCGTCAGCGTCTTCGCCTAGAAGGACTATATCGTCTGCGTATTCTAAGTTAACGAGATTATTCCCCGGTAGCAAGTCAATTCCTGATAGCCAATTAGTGTATTGTTTCTATGGTTTACGATTGATATATTAACCACTGCTTCTGTCTTCGATCTGTCGGCTTAATCCTCTGAATTATTCCGTCTCACACTTAACATTTGGTTATCTGTGAATTGTGGAAATGAAAATTGAAGCTTTACAAAGTCAGTCAGTGTTCGTGAGCATAACCCCATTGCATATACGGAATTATTCCAACGTTGGATATTCCAGGTATAATCTGTCATTAAACAAGTTTCTAAGCTCCGTTTTATACTCAAAATGAAGATGGTGGATACAGGTGTAAGCATACTCGCATATACTCGAACTGGTAGGCACGGAAACTCCACAGTGTTCCTTTTAACTTTGCATATTGCTTGTAGAATTCACAGGGGACAGAATACTTACATATCTGTTGTGGACACCGGCAAATGTGATAGTGCAGCTGATAGGTTTTGTTCTCTGTCACTTAGATTAAATTTTAAATGAAAGGATAGGTCGAAAATCCACACCCATCCTCCACACTAACTGTAAAACAGTGCAGTGAAAATTGCATAATTGTCTATTCATTGTTCGAGAACCGTGAGTAGGAAAAGAAATGCTAACCCGTGATGTGACGTCCAAAGGTATAGGATAGTTGTGTTAGCGTTTCATGACTCTCTAACTGGGGTATGACTGTGTAACCTGAAGTGTAATCATTTACGGTCCACAAATCATTGATTTATGCTTCAGTTTACGTGTCTCTTTTGAATGCTATATGATTATTTGTTTATTCCATTATTCTCGAACTACACTTTATTCTTTCCTTGTACTGCTGTGTCGTATATCATAATGCTCGTACTTGTACCAAATCAGTGTTTGAGCACTGAAAATGTATATCGAAACAGAGTTACTTCTATGAGTAGTTACAACCGTTTCAAACTAATCTTTTCTTACCATGCTTCACACGAGTGCTGGAATCCAAGCCGTTCAGCTTTCCCGTGTCATTCCACATGGCAGATATTTCTTCATCCATAGTTCCTTATTCTTTATATTCTCACAAAATACTCTACAAATTTACTATGTTCCCGTAGTGTTTTATCTGTGGTGGACAGATTACGGGGCACAGTTACAATTATGTTTTCTCCATGGTATTAAAAGTTATTCAACTGCTTTCATATAACATTACACTCGCAGATATTTCTCAACACCTTAGAAGTCAGTGTAAAAGTTGAAAGTAGTTCAGCATAATTTAGCTTAGTAGTGATGTGTGCTCACTCTGATTGTTTTGAATTAGTCGATTTCCGCTGAAATTTGTCAAAAATTATCTTTACCTATTCATCTTTTTAAAGCCTATTCTCAGAGTTATTTATTGTTTTTCCGTATATTTAGCCGTTTGGAATAGTGCGAATACTGTTCATCCGTCCGGTGGTCGCCCGGTGCTCGGTGGAACTCGACCTATACTCTCAGCACATAATCAACCAGAAGTTGATACTTGGGACGGTGATTCAAGTTTTATGCGATCTAATATGAATCCAAACGGTGGTATGGTTTCGTGGGATACTTCACCCAATAGTATGATTGGTGCTAATTGGGGGAATCCAGGAAACTCTGGTTTACTAAATTCCATGCAAACACAATTGCCTTCTGCTTCAGATGACATCAGACGTCAGCATAACTACATGGGTTCAATTTCAGTTACTCAGGGATCTGTAAGCTTACTTTTTTGTTACTATATTTATAATCACCATTTGAAAACAGCTGGTTTTTATTCCTTTATCATACCATGATAAATAAGTCATGATTTCCACAGAGTATTAATATGATGATATCTTATCGGGATGTGGATATATATTGATAACAAAGCATTCTCATTTATGAGGTATGTTCTATGCTAATTACCATTTATTCCTATATGTCAGACCAGGTTTTGTAAGGTCAAGATGCACAACATAATGGATGAAAGTTCGGAGTTAATTTGGCAAATAGACCAGCATAGTACATAGCTGAAGTCTTTAAAGACGCCATATTTCACAGCTATACAAATGTGAAGTTAGACAAAGACAATGTAATGCAGTCTTAAGCATTTACATAGTTAAGTTGTGGTTATTCTACTATAGTAGTTAAGTTGCTTTTCAAAGCTTTCGATTTTGTAGGCTGTAGTGCTTACAACACCAGGTTGGCCATAAAGTATTAGCTCATGTGCACCAGATCATCTATGTATATACTGTGAGGACTGATGGTACTACCAATTTTTCCAGGCTGAAAGTAGATGGAGCAAGACCTACTAGCTAGAGGTCGTGTGTGTTTACCTGTTTCATCACAATACTGTTTAGTCTTTACCCAGTAATGTTGGTTATTCTTAAAAAATGACTATCTTTTTTGTCACATGGTATACCATCCCTATGCCTTGAGATCACATTATTTTAGTTTCACTTATATAAAATCTAACCTTCGGACATTCTGAGAACTACATAGTGTTATCGTTCCGGTCATTATGGGTTTGATGGTTAGTCACAGGAAGGACAATTGTTACAGGATAGTAATCATCGGATCATACTATCAATCAGTTCATTTCATATTAAAATAATATTTTTATTAATGCTTATACATTCCAATAGCCTACAAGTCATATTTTATGCATTAGTGTATTTCATCCTTTCCACAGGATCGACTACAAGTTCATCCATACAGCAATACTTACCGTGCTGATCTAGTTAAATATTTAATGAGTCAAGGTTATAAGAAAGAGGATGCACATGCTGCACTGATTGCTTGTAATATGGAACCAGAAAAAGCCTTATCTGAATTACGTGAGCGTTACAGCACCAATAGGACCATGACACAACCTTCAGATATTAATCGTAATTACGGAGTTAATGGTGCATCATCATCATCGTCATCACACACAGGAACACGAAACGGACCAATTCATCAATTGTCAAATGATACTTCATCATTATCTCAGTTATCACTTTCAAGCAATAACCCTACACCCTCTGCACAAAATCATCGTTTAAAGCAGTCAGGACCATGTGTCACTACACAAAGTAATACAAACCAATTGCTGTCGTCTATGCAACCAGTTGCTAATTCTCAATTAATGAGACAACAAATCACTCAACAGGTAAGATACATATACTATCATTTATTACAATACAAACAACCTGGCACATTATGGGCGGCAACCAAGTGATGCGCCAAACAAAATCTCATAGTTTGTGCTGAAGCTGGGATTATGCTCTACAAGGACGCCCCCCCATCGAGCCTTTGACTTGAAGGCTTCACAGAGTAGTGGAGCTGCATTCCCATGGTTGTCGATGACCAAAACAGGTTCATACACCACCCGATACCTTGGGATTCTAGAACCCATTTGCGCTATAGGGTTTCTTAGCTTCGCTTGGTAGACCACCAGTCCGGTAGCGTTCTCATCGACCCTTCCACTTCTGTGAAGAACCCTCTACTTCCACTGCGTGAAGGCAGTGAACAGGACTTATCTGTCAGAAGCTATGAACGCGTGGCCACTTAAGGGAGTACTTCGAAAAGGTTGAAGTCCACCTACCGTCGTCCGTAGCTAGGTAATTTATGGCATATATATATATATGTATATATATATATTTTACATTATTTCTTGCTTATTGAGTAGTCTTACGTTGACATCTACTCTTTTGAATCACTTGGAGGCTCAGCAATTCTGTAATCAAAGTGTACACCTGTGGGGATATGTACACATTAGTGTGAAGTCTGCTCACTTGAATTATTGCATTTCCATTGAAAATGCACTAAGCAGTCCACTTTCCCTAGAACTTTATCCTGTGACGTTAACGGGTTCGACTAGAAGGAAGTGTATGCGGATGAGGGTTAGAAGGAAGACATAGGGACCATAAACATTGATAACCTAAAAGATAATCTGGTAAAGAAATATTACAGTTTATAAGATGATTGGCGTCGGTGGCATAGCGGTTAGGACGCTCACCGACCATGCACAAGGGTCGGGGTTCGATACCCGGCCACCGACGCACTCCTTTACCTCGCTGAGCCAGTACGAGAAATGGCAAAGAGGGAAGGTTGGGCTTGACGTTAGCAACCCTATCCTGTAAAAGTAAACACTGCTATAGAAACTTCAAGCTGGAGGCTTGAAGCCCTATTTTCCACTGGAAACGTGAAGGAAAAAAAGATGACTGAATCCAGTACATTGGGTTGAAATGGATAGAATAAAGAAGGATAAGGCATTCAACTCATAAAATGAAAACCAAATTACCATAGGAGCTAAAGATTAAATTTTTCTGCACTTTTTGTATGCATGAGTCCAGTTGTAAACATTTTATTCGGCTCGCTTACATAATTAGTAGTGATCATGGCGTATTTTGTGGTTGTGTGTATAGCTGCAATTTTAGCTTGTAGGATACCTTTCTTCATTACGTTCTTGATGCTCACAACCATTTTCGGAGAGATTGTGTCTTCTTTAAGTAGGATACAAATTAAGAGTTTCTTTTTAGTTTATATATGTCCAAACCAAACCAAGTTCACTTTTAATGGTTCAGCGTTTAGCTATTTTTTAAATTGTATTCGCTCTTCATTATTCAAGATAGATCTCTTAAGATATCCATTTATTATTACCACTGCAAATGACAGTTGACTGAAACATGTGACCCTGAAGGCTAATTCTCGTAGGTCGTCCCAATTAGATCACGTGTTTTATAATATTAGTAGATAAATATAACTACGGTTTATCTATGATAAGTCAGTCTGCTCACTCATATATTATGCAGGTTTTACCCTGCATAACAGTGTGTATAACTAAATGGTAGATTAGAATTGATTGACGTGAATTCCAGTTGACACACATCATCCCATGTCCTGAAGTTGCAAATTGGCTAGGCTTGGCTACCTTTCGCATGCATCAGCCTAATGGGACTCATTAGTTCATAAATTTCTATGTTGTGAAATATATTTGCCTGTTTTACTACAACTCACTTATGTGTATAACTTATCTTTTTCTTTTCTCTTGAAGGTTCGTTCGGCTTTAAATCTTCCACTACCGAATCCATTGGGTGTACAAATAAATGGAAATAGTTCAGTAGGTACTTGTGGTGGTTCACTTTTAGGTCAACCACCACCGCCTTCTTTATCCAGTGTTAACTTGAATACTCCAATTCTACCGTCTACGAATAACGCCGCACATCCACTCACCGGTGTTGGTGGTGGTGGTTTACCGCCTACAACTACTCTAGGTCCTGCTAAGAATATTAATAGTAATATAAATAACAATATCAATACTAATACTACTAATAATAATCGCACACCAATTGGGTCAGCAGTAGCAGCTTTTAATCAAAATCCAGCGAAACGATCACCTCGTCAATTATCTATCATTAACTCAATAATTGATTTGCAAAAGAAACATCAGGTGAGTTCATTATAATTGGCTTTAAAAAAATTAATGTTTATGCCATTTTTGCACCCACCCATCCGTCCCTTCATATAAGAGCGTATATATTTTGGTCGCCTTAATTGTGTCAAATGGACTTTAGTCGACTTTTTTTTAACTGAGCACTAATGCATCTTTTCCTGTCTGTCTGTCTGGATTCAACATAGAACTTGGCACCGAAGTGCAGCACTTCGAGTTGCCACCTTCCAAATAGCACACAAAGGTAGACAAGATGAGTGAAGAGATTCAATAGAGTTTGACAAGTATAAGAGTGAAACAGAATGGGTAATGGTAGAAAGGAATATGAAAGATTACAGAGACTGAATACATCTGCGCTGTCATTGACAACGATTTTGAGCCATGTCACCTATTGTCTCCAGCCATTGATTCTTAGAGTCAGTCCCGAGGACCCCAACCCGAAAGTCTGCATCTCCCCACCTGACTCAGTTTAACTGTCAAGGATTTCATGGATTGATGAGACCATGTTTTTGTTTGGCCACCATTTACTCTTTTCCAACCTGCACCTATATCAGCTAGTATAATGCCCGTCGATGGGGGAGGCGATGGTTAGGCATGCGAAGCACGTGACCTAGCCATCTCAATCTATTTAACTTTATAGTCTCGTCGATTGATTTTCCCTGTTTGCCCAACACTCTACGCCTAACGTCGACATTACTTACCTTATTAAACCACCTAACGTGAGAAAGAGATCGTAGACATCTATGATCAAAAACAACAGTCAACCTTTTCATGTCTTCAACTCGTATTGGTCATGTTTCAGAGCTATAGAGAAGAACGGAGTGAACTGCTGAGCAGTACACACGTCCCTTAGTTGATATCTGGATGTCACACCTACGCCAGAGATGGTGTAAGTCAGCGAAAGCAGCTCGAGCTTTTTGGATCCGTGCTGAGATTTCGTCGCCAATCAGTCCGTTGGTGCTGATACAACTTCTACATTGTTCTACCTACCTATTCAGTCAGAAAACCAGTTGAAAAGAAAAGATTTGAGAACAAATTCACTTTAAATCCTTATGTTTACGGGTGATATGTTACTATATTTCCTTTTGAATCAAAGAGCAATGAAATACAAATGTTTCTAAATGACAGTTGTGTACTATCCACTTATATTTTATGTGACAAAATGCGGAGTCTTCTGAAAACCTTGAGCCGCAGTCTACGAATGTTTGGCATGTGATTCGCTCCCGCCAAATGTAAGATGATGTTACAGGACTGGACTGGACTAAATTGACTCCTAGTTTAGAAATAGGGGAAGAGGTGGTAGAGTAGTTTGATCGCTTGACTTATTTGGGAAGTACCGTCAGTCAGTGCCAACAGGTTGGTCTCAGACTAAATCTCAGTGCGGATACAGAGGGCTATTTTCGCATATGCCAGTTTACGCCGTTTCTGGCGTAGACGTGATATCCGGCTGACTATCGACTAAAGGGCGTGTGTACTGCTCATCAGTCCGCTCCGTCTTCCTTTATGGCTGTGAGTGATACTTGGCCATTGAGAGTGGAGAGGGCATGAAAAGGCTGGTTAGCTGTCTTTGATCATAGGTGCCTGCGTTCTATTTCCCGTGTGAAGTGGTATAATAAGGTGAGCAATATTGAGGTTAGGCCTCGGTGGAGTTCTAGGTAAGGTGGAAGGGGAAATCAATCGACGAGGCTGTGAAGTTACATCGACTGAGATGGTTAGGACATGTGTTACGTATGTCTAGCCATTGCTTTCCTCGACGGGCACAGGGTCAGGCTGGAAAAGGGCCAGCTAGTGGTGGTCGAACCAAAACTTGGCACCAGTCAATGAAATCCACAACAGTTAGTTTAAGCTAGTCAGCTATGTACGGGGGTGTAGACTTCCTGACTGGTTGAGGTCCTCTGGACGGTAAAAACCACTGACAGCTGGAAACAATTGGTGATATGCTGGAAACCTTTCCCAGTGGCGCTGGCGCAGATGCATCCTCTCCATGTGACTTATGATTTCCAATGAAACTTTATTGTTCTGCGTTACTTCTATTCCTTTGTCTCATACATCTGTTTGCTGTTAGTATTATGCATTTCTTCTACTTCTCGCTTTGTGTGCTACACGGAGGGAGTGTGGTGGCTTGAACTGGTGCACATCGGTGCAAAGTTCTATGTCGAAAATAGATGGACAAACACATTTTATGTGCCTCACTTTTGAGAGTATGAACAAAAAAAGCACCAAGGCTTTGGAACAGGTTTCACAGTCTTGCCACTTCCAGTTTGGAGTCATTTAATCTTTACCTAGTATGACATAGTTTTTTAAGTAGACTATTTATATATTCTGTTAGTGTGTGATCCATTTTATGCTTTTTATCCTCTTTTTTCATTTTTTACATTCCGGGTAGAACATATAGGGGTTTAGGTGTGAAGCGTTAAAGTGTTTTAGTTAGTGATTATGTTTCTTTCTGCGAGGTGAGGTTGTTAGCTTCATGCTTGCCGCATCGTTTCTCTTTTCCGGCTTGCCACCGGCTAGGTGAGGCTTAGAAGTGCGTCAGCCGGGAGTCGAACTCCGAGCCTACGGCTTTACCACTAACCCTCAAGACTTGTCTTTATGCTATACTACCTGTTTAGATACAAAACCTAATGAGTTAGTGTTTATACCAAGTTTAGTAAGCTTATCTTAAATTTTATCACCATCTCGTGTTTTGATTTTTACAATACATACAGAGCATTCAGCATCAATTGACAGTATATCATAATAACCCGGCGCTTCGTTCTCAACCTCAGTATGCTGATGTGTTTGTTGAGCTACAAGGTCAGATGCAGCAAATCGAGACTCAACTTCATGCAAAACGCGCACAGCTTAATTTAGCTCGCACACAAGAACCAGGAGCACAATCGGTGGTACGACCACCACTGTTACCACCAAATGGTAAGTCAGGTTAAATTATTATAACTTCTTCAATGCCTCTTAACAGAAACAGGTTGGGTTTCACTATATAGTTACACCTTTGAAGGCAGTAAGTATAGTCCATAGAGAATCTATATATGTATAATTTTTGTCCCATTTAGTTAGATAGTAGTTACAGAGTTCCCAGTGCTGGAACAGAGGACTTCATGCTAGGGGGCTTGAAGTTCCTGTAGCAGTGATGATGGCGATTACTTTTACGGGATGGGATTGCTAGCCTCATGCACAATCTTCCTTCTTTACCCGTCTTATCACTACTGTCTTAGCGAGGTAAAGGAGTGTGCTGGCGGGCGGGGATCAGACCTCGGACCACCTTCGTGGTCGGCAAGCACTCTACCGCTTTGCCACCGATGCACAACTCACACTCTTATGTAGGATTTATCTTGTAACTTTAATGCGCGATGAGAATGTAAGTCGGTAGAGTAAGTTTTTAAGCCATAATGAACGTGTCCAGATAGCTGCAGAACTAATTAAGTAGATGGGGCTGTCAGTCATGATGTAAGTGGTTATTATTCAGTTAACTATCAAAGCTTAATTTTTCTTTAGGATAATGTCTCATGGACTGCTCTCTTACGTAGAGTGAATGAGAACCACTCATTGGAATTACTTTAAAACCAAAGTCTCATATTCTTTGTAGTTATGCTGTTCTCGTACTTTGATTGCTTGGAGCTAAAACAGCGTTAAAGCGCAATGGTCTAATTTGTAACTTACAAATTCAGAGTTGTACTTTTTTTGCCTACTGTATGTAACACATTTAATATATTTCATTTTATCATTTTCTTTATTTATCTAGGTGCTGATGTTGCCGATAACTCTTTTCCTGCTATTGGTACATGGATGTCTCCTTCACCAAATTGTGCGGAGAATTTCGATAAAACCTTGACAGATGGTCCAGGTGGGTATATGTTTTATAAATTTTGATTTCTACCGTAACCAACACTCAAGTTGAAACCTACTGAGAGTCACGGGTCTGAACCCTGCTTCACCTGTCAAGATTTAGACAACCAGCCAGGTGGCATCATTGCCTGTCCATCCCGCATACGAATGCTCTGTGGAGTGGTCTACGATATCTTCCTACTACTTGTATGCTTATTAGGTTGTTAATTATCATTATACAAGCATTTTTCAAGTAATTTAGTCATCCAGGGCGGTACACATCAGTTCCTCTGTGTGTGGGTGTGTGTCATAGGTCCTTGATAAGTATTCTCCCTCTTTTGTGTCATGAAGCATTGTCAGATTGTCAAATCTTTATTGAAGTTTGTACAGCGTTTTTCTGTACACTGGTTACAATCTAGACTCTTCGAAATTAGCTATCTGAAAGTCGACCAGTTGCAATTGATTCTACTCTCTCTCTCTGTCTCTCTCTGAGTCCGGTCAAAATGGCTACACCTCTGATGACTTCGTCGCAAAACGAGCAGAACGGTCGGTCGTTGAGTGTTTTGTTGATCACGTCGATCTGACTGGCTGATTGATATAAGCACCACCACCACTGGTGTGAGATGATGCAAGTGGTGTTGGCACCGCAAATACTCATTTCAACGAGTCAGTAGTATGTATCTCTTTGTAAATAATCATCAATTTTGTTATTGTCCACTGTGCAACATATATTGTTGTCGTTGTTGTTGTTGTTGTATGATCCAAGTTGTTCATCAGATCTATCCTGCGAATTGCATTCACTTTTTTAGCTAACAAAAGAGGTTAACCGTACGCGCGATAGCTCTCCCCAACTTAAGTCTCCACACCGTGTTTTTGGTACTAGTATGGAATTTTCAGCATGTGATATCCATCCATAGCCTAGTTTTTCAGGCCGACCATTGATGATATCGGTTGTGCGTGGGCAGGGGATTGAAACCCGGACCATGTGCATAGTCGGTGAGAGTCCTAACCGCTGTGCCACCGACACACAAAAGCCCGTCTGCATGCGCCAAGAAGGCGGAATCGAACCGTTCCGACGCCAGTCGGCTACAGGTTTGAAGTCTGCATACCCGGGTCACCGAAGGTCTTCTCGGAAAAGTTAAAATAGCATACATGCAAAGCTCTAGGCTGACTTCATTCTAGGTGGCGGGGAGCTACAATGTATCTGTGTGTACTACAACGTTGAGAAGATCTTAACCAATCGCCTCCTCCTCTTTCTCCTAATAAACCTTTTTTAAGTGCTTAATTTTCTCTAATGTATATTAGTCAGCTATCCACAACTATGATTGTATTTCTCTTCAGTTCATTGATTCATTTTGTTATGTTTTCCAACTGAATGTTGTTCAAAACTGACGTATGCATACATATATGCATGTATGGATATATATATATATATATATGTCATTAGTGGTGGTGTTGAGTAGATATTGATTCTGATGAGATTAGTGACTTTATGTTGTGATTTCATTTCTGGAAAATGCTTTTAACATTTTTGCGGATAGATAATGTTTAGTGTGTGTGTGTGTCAACCGTGTATGCCTTTATTCTTTGCCAAATAAACACAACTGTTTAAAACTTAATAGGTATTACTACTTTCCATTTAATTTTTCCATTTGTAATTATTTTCATAATGTGTTCTGTGCTGTATGAATGAGTGAGTGGAGTTTTGTTCCTTGTACTTGGAGTGTATAATACTTTCTGTAAAAAAGTGATTTCCATTCCTTCTAAACTGGGTGCTTGATATCCAAGGTTTTGGCATATTATACACAGCCCGTCTATGAGCTCTATAGTACATTCTGTTATTCTATAGAGATTTAGCTTACTGACCCCAACACCTGACTTTCATTCAGTGTATCATACTCATTCCACTTTAAACTGGATAACTGCCGGGTATATCACATAATAGGCAGTACTCATCAAATTGAGTCACCTCTGGCGCCGTCGCGACGTTAGCCTGGCTGTCAGACATCGGGTATACAATGCTTCGGTGCAGGCTATCTTGCTCTACGCCTGTGAAACCTGGCCTCTCCGAGTAGGCTGAGGATGTGCGGCGGCTCTGCGTGTTCGATCATCGCGTTCTCCGCAGGATTACTTGCGTTCGATGGCATCATCGCGTGAGTAATTCTGAGATTCGGTGGCATGTGTTCGAACACAGTGGAGATCCCCTTTCATTGGGTGTCGTCATCTTTAAACATCGGCTCCGGTGGCTTGGACATATGCTGCGAATGTCATCCCAGAAACTTCCGTACAGGTCTCTGTTCGCTAGCCATCCCTGGGACGGGATGGAAGAGGCGGAGGGGTGGTCAGTCGATGACGTGGCGTCGTGGAATGAAGGATTTTTGTGGCAGATTAGCATCGGTTGGTGCATCACAACTCCCTGGTTGGGGTCCCCGAGAAAGCTCGAATTGATGGCTCTGAACGTTATCGAATATAGCCAAGAATCGTAATCAACGGCGGACGTGTTGCAATTTACTTCTTTCTTCCCTTCCCGATGATAGCTAATGATAGCCTCCAAAGCCTCAGGATGGTCGGGGGTGGGTGCCTTGCGCTGCGGGTTGCCACCCCTCCATACACCTCTTGAAATGCTCCCATATGACCGGGCGTCTTACATAGCCTCTCCTGAGGAAGTCCTACTCACTGCCTTCACGTGGCGGAGGTGTTTTCACCGAAGTGAGAAGGCAAAAGCGGATGCCCGGCGCTCTTCACCGGGTTGACTGTCCATTGGATGACAGTCTAGGGGAGATGGCTAAACCCTAATTCCAAACCTCCAACGACTGGCGTATGAAGCTCACTGGAGCTCACCGGCAGACGTATGGACAAAGGGCTTATTGGATGCCCTGGATGTCTGGGCTCATTCAAAAAGGCGTATGAACCGGACTCCGGTCACCGGCTTCCAATGGATAGTGGACTCCCTACTCCACTCCTTACAAAATTCGTTAGTGTTGGTTGGCTGAGTCTTCCTATCATTTTGATTATTGGTTTTTATATTAATTCCTTTGCGTTCTTGGTGGAAAAAAATAGGACATCTAGCTTTAGCTTTGAAATTTTAGTAACGGCGGTGTTTTTGCTTTTTTTATGGAATGGAGTGACTGGCCTTACGTTCGACCGAGTGTACGTCGGTTAGGCGAGGTGATGAAATGCATCGACTGAAGGGCCGAACCCACCACCCCCCATATCATATATATGCGGTTTACTGGGATATTCTATCAGTGAACCGTTGACGCGCACACCTACTGCCTTAATAATTTATACTAATGGACACATCGTTAATTAAACACACAAGTGTGCTAGCCGTCATATCTGACTATTTTGATGATTCTTTGAGTTGTTTTTTTTTTGCTACTAGGTGGGTGGTAGTTCACTGAATAAATCTATATATTTTTATTTTCCTTTTTTTAATGATATCTCTGTAGGTTCAAAGTCAAATCATTTTTCGCGTACTGGAACAACCGGCAAAGCTTCTAATAGTAATAGTAGTAACAGTAACTGGTCACCTACATGGTCAACATCGGTGAACAATACATCAAATTTAACTAATCCCACTATGCGCACCAATCATGCTCAATGGCAGCAGCAGCAGCAGCAAGCTAACAACAGCAACAATAATAATAATAATAACAACTGTCAAATTCGTCCTAATTTAGACAATAACATGAATTTTCCGGTGGTAAAAAATAATTCTGTAGGTGGTGGTAGTGTTCACGGTGTTAATGAAATGCAAGGCCAATGGTTATTAGTACAACCATTGATTGGATTGCCTGGAGCTAGTAGTATACACAATCTACAGAATATTTTATCAACACATTTCAAACTGACAAGTTTTCATGTTCTAAATCCAAATACAAATAGTGTTTTAATTCGCCTTCATACTATGGAAGAGACAGTGCAATTGATTAAAACTTTCGGTGATCGTTTAGCGCTTGAACCATTATCAGATCTGGATGCTCGTGTTCACTTACAACAAATAGTAGGTTTATTCTATGAATTGATTCTTTTATATATTATAAAGAAAGGCCTTTTTGAAGGTTTTTATTCTTTTTCATAGAAAGATTTTTATTTACTTTTGGCATTTCAGTAGTAGACGTTTTTTTGTATGGATATATATCCACTTGAACAATTCAAATTTGTGGTATTCTTAGAGCCCTGATGGTAATAATAAAAAGCCAAGAAAGCTTCATATACTTATCTGAATATACTATTGGTTCTAACTTCCCAGTTGCCCCCCCCCCCACATACACACACAATGGAAGTTGATTTCATCATGGGGTATTTAAAATAGGGGTTAGGTAGAGCAAGTGCTTTCTTGAATCTATTCCAAAAAGGTCTTGATCTCCTTTCCTGTTGTTGGACTGATTACTCTCCAAGTAAGAGTATCCAGTAGAACTTCTTGCATGAAGTCAGACCTATGTGTGTGTAAATACCGAGAATATGTTTGGTGTGTATGTGTGTGTGTGTGCTGAGGAGGGCGTTCAAGTCTATCCTACACTAGCTTTGTACAGGTTTTCTTTCTCTCTGCTTGCTGTCGTTCAGTAAGCATTTGCTGTTAATTGTCTCCCACCATATGTAAGATGATGTTACAGGACTGGACTGGACTAAATTGACTCCTAGTTTAGAAATAGGGGAAGAGGTGGTAGAGTAGCTTGATCGCTTGACTTATTTGGGAAGTACCGTCAGTCAGTGCCAACAGGGTTGGTCTCAGACTAAATCTCAGTGCGGATACAGAGGGCTATTTTCGCATATGCCAGTTTACGCCGTTTCTGGCGTAGACGTGATATCCGGCTGACTATCGACTAAAGGGCGTGTGTACTGCTCATCAGTCCGCTCCGTCTTCCTTTATGGCTGTGAGTGATACTTGGCCATTGAGAGTGGAGAGGGCATGAAAAGGCTGGTTAGCTGTCTTTGATCATAGGTGCCTGCGTTCTATTTCCCGTGTGAAGTGGTATAATAAGGTGAGCAATATTGAGGTTAGGCCTCGGTGGAGTTCTAGGTAAGGTGGAAGGGGAAATCAATCGACGAGGCTGTGAAGTTACATTGACTGAGATGGTTAGGACATGTGTTACGTATGTCTAGCCATTGCTTTCCTCGACGGGCACAGGGTCAGGCTGGAAAAGGGCCAGCTAGTGGTGGTCGAACCAAAACTTGGCACCAGTCAATGAAATCCACAACAGTTAGTTTAAGCTAGTCAGCTATGTACGGGGGTGTAGACTTCCTGACTGGTTGAGGTCCTCTGGACGGTAAAAACCACTGACAGCTGGAAACAATTGGTGATATGCTGGAAACCTTTCCCAGTGGCGCTGGCGCAGATGCATCCTCTCCATGTGACTTATGATTTCCAATGAAACTTTATTGTTCTGCGTTACTTCTATTCCTTTGTCTCATACATCTGTTTGCTGTTAGTATTATGCATTTCTTCTACTTCTCGCTCTGTGTGCTACACAGAGGGAGTGTGGCGACTTGAACTTCCGCACATTTGTGCAAACTTCTATGTCGAAAATAGACAGACAATTCTAGGGACAGTTGAATATGTGTTCCACTTGGCCGGGGATTTAAGAAATCATCTACAGTTTGTCTGTGTAGTATATATATTTATATATATGCAGTTGGATGAAATGTTTCACTATATTTTTTGTTATTATTTTTCTTTGTTTCAGTCTCTAAACACGTGTTCAGATGGTTTCACCTCATCATCATCATCGTCTAATCAGTATAATGCATTATCAGATATACACACCAATTGGAATAATAGTAATGCTACAACTATTAATAATAACAATAATAACGGCCAGTTCTATGCTTTAAATTCCATGAACAACGGCAACAACAACAATAGCAATAAGAAGCCTAATCATCAAATCTCTCGTTTTGGAATCACCGTATGCGGAAATAAGTAGTAGTGTAGTAGCATATTACCGCTGTTGTTGTTGTTTGCTTGTTTGTTTTACGGAATCTCATTCCTTCGGAAGGATGTCTTCCAGTCTGAACGCGCCGCTTGTGCTTTCAGATTTTATGTGTCTGCAGTGCAGCTAAACAATTAATGACAATATAATGACACACCCACACACGTACACACACACAAAGTAAGCGAAGTGTTATCATCTATCGAATTCGAAAAAGAGAAAAACATAACCACAAACATTATTCTTATTTTAATGTGCTCAACTTTTACCTAATGTGAAACATATATGTAGGAGAAGAAATCGCATTATACTCTCTCACACACTTATTGATTCACACATATGCTGCTCCATCTTTTTCTCTTTTTTGTTTGTCCTCCTTTTTTCCACTAGTTAATTCTTTCTTGCTGTGCCTATAACTACTATTCTGTGATCTAGTTTGTGTGCGCGCGCGTGTGTGTTTATTAATTTCAATCATGCCGATTTTCGATGTGTGTTGATGTCTGTGTGTGTATGGATCAAAACTAGTCAGATTTATTGCCTTGCTGTTTGTGTCGATGTGTTGTTCCTCTTCTTGTTGATGGTGATGACGATGATAATGTGTTGATAATAACGATAACGATAATTGTTGATTGTCATCTTTTTCTAATTAATTAATTTATTTATTATAATTATTATTATGATAATTGTCCATATCTCTTAGCCCCCAACCTCATACTTATTGTCCGTCCATTTACATAGAATAACATATTATACCTCAATTGCCTTCTACGCTGCATCCTCTTCCTCAAATTTCTTCTATATATGTGTGTGTGTGCGTGTTTGCACTCTAGATCTCTGTATGTGTCTGCTTGTTAAAAACGACAACAATACTTTTTTTCAATTTCATGGTTTTGTGTTTTTCTAAACTCTGTCTAATTTTAGCAGTCTTTCATTTATTTATGTGTGTGCGTGTGGGCTTGTTTAGATTCAGCAGCCTTTATTTGTTAAACATGATTGTTTGTAAGGCTACTCTCTCTCTCTCACTTCTCCTATTCCTCCTCCTACACAATGTACCCCTTGCACAGACGACACCGTCCGCCCGTCCTTCCTTTCTGTACAGAGGCTTCCAGAATCATCCAGTATGCATACATGTATTTAAGCTTTTCACTTATTCACATATTCTTATAAACAATTGGGTGTTATTCTGCTCTATTGAGTTTACATTTACATTTGTATTTTGGACTGTTGTCCTAATAATGAATACATTTCATTTATGTAAGATAGATTATGTAGACTATGCAGTGCTGAAAATCGTACCTCTTTCTCGTGTGAACACGTGACATACTCCTTCCTTCCTATTTGCCTGTCTACCTGTCTGGTTTTCCTCTCATTTCATTGGGCGTAATTTAAAACAAACCTTATGAAGATAATGATGACTACAGTTGTTGTACTATTACTGCTATTACTATTCTGTGTTCTCTTCTTCCGCCTTATATAAATAGTATTATACATATACATACACAGATCATGTCTTTTTGGGCTAAAAAGACTCCAACTGTGATGTATTATACACGCGTGTTATGGCTCATTATATTTGTGTTTTCTTTCCTTCTTCCTTTCACTTTGCTCTTCACATATACACACACAAGTTGTGTGTGTGTGTGTGTTTGTTCTCTTAAGGATACGTGTGTGCGTTCCACCCCTCATGAATTTCCATATTTATTAAATAAATATGTACTTTGATCCTTTTCGCCCACTCGCCGCCTGTCCAGCCATCCGGCCAAGCTACACTATCGCCTTTTTGTCTCTTCGACAAGAAAAATACACCAAGAGAAGAAGCTACTACTACTCAGACCGGTGCAATATATGTATACCCTATATGTGTATTGTTCCTCCTTTATCCCTTGAAAAAAATTGATTTATCAACTCTGTGCATGTGTGAGTGTGTATGTATTGCCGTCTACCTCTGCGGGATGAAGACTAGCATTACCCCCTCCCTCCCGTCAAAACCTTTTATTTTCTCATATATTTAGTGCTAATGTATGTTTATACTGTTTTTGTTTTTGTGTGTATGTGTAATACTGTGACCATGTGCTGTAGTGTAAAGTGGAGTAGTTAGACAAAAAAATCTGTTCCATTGACAAACTCTAAGAGTAAGTTGTTGAGCTTTGTTCACTCACTATCTATTTTACACTGCTACTATTGACATTCACAACAACACCACCAACGTCAATAGTGTTGTTGTTTTTGTGTAACAATTTTATTGTAATCTGGATCATTATTCCTTTTATTTCATTTTGAATTAATAAAAATGGTTATATACACATATTCTTTTCCGTAGTCTCTCAGTCCCAGTTTTTCTTTTCTTGTGCGTGCATATCTAAACCGGAAATTATACATACATACATATATATATTTATGTGTATTCCTTCTTTTGTTTTTTTTCAGCGGTTTTTTGTCTTATCTAGACTATACACACATGATGATTCTTTATTATGCTGTATATGTGCGTGCGTGCGTGGGTGCCTGTCTATGCTCGGGTGTTTATTCCTATCCTTATATAGTGTTCAGTTATTTTTTATAAGTCAATCCCACTCTCCTCTTTATTATCAATATTACTGTTACTATTATTATTAGTATTATTATTATTATTGTTGTTGTTGTTACCCATAAACAGTGAGTACGAAAATACATTTCCAATCACAAAATGGTCATTTATGTATACATTTGTGTGTGTGCGTCTGGGCGGGTATAAACATTCGCCAACCATTTTGATTTACTTTATTGCATTCAAGTTCACAATCTTATTATTATTATTACTATTATGATTATCATTAACTATTATTTCACTACATAATGATGTGTGTGTGTGTTTGCATTGCTCCCGTGGAAGAAAACAACAGTAATTAGATTTTTCAAATTGTGTCTGGTACTGGTTAATTTCAGCTCAAAATCGTTGTCTTCTTCTTCTGGGCTCCTCTCTACTCTTCCTCCTATGCCGTCTCCACGTCCATGTTCACCGATATTTTCTCTCGCATTCTCATCTCGAGTCAAATGTTGTTGTTTATTATTACAGAGAAAACAGAGACACTTTCCATTTCTTTCTCGGTACACAGACATGTCTATTTTTGTGTTTTCGAATACTGAATAATAATGATAATAATAATAGTAATAGTGACAATAATTCTGGCTGTTCACCCTGACCCCTCCGTCCCCACCCCCATTAACCATTACAATCCATTTCGAAATTAGTCTTTCTACTATACTACTATTATTCATGTTCTTTTGTAATAATAATAATGATGATTGCATTTTTTCCGATCTCTTTATGTGTCTCTCCCTGCCTCTCTGTCTCTCTCTATGGCGTGCTATCATGAATACCAACAAGTCTTAGATGTTTACTTACATTTTTTTCTTTTTCTCATTGATTTTTGGCGGTTATCCTTCGTCTACTTCTTCAAAGCGTTTAGAGTGTATTTATCATTTATATATGTATATTTCTATGTGTGTATCATTGAATAGTCGATTTATGTCATCACAACGACTAGGATATAGTATTCTATGGTGTTTGTGTGTGCGTGCGTGTCTGTGTGTATGTTTAACTAAAGTCATGCATCTTCAACATCCACCCCCTTCCCACATCTTTCTATTGTTGTCTCTGCTTAGAATATATGTATACACATATACTTATATTAATTACCTCATTCCGGTGCAAAGAAAGTACTTTATACAAGATATATCTATCTATCTATACATGTGTTGCCAAATTTTCTCTGTATCTCTTCTTGTACTACTTCTACTTCAACTTCTTTCATACTGGCTTTCATTTTGTGTTCCGTCTCTTTCCAATTTCTACTTGAAGTAGAGAGAAAAAGAAAATAATGCCTTTAAAAGTGTGTTTGTTGTTTTATTAACCTGTGTGTAGTTCAAAGAAAAGAAGAACACACAGAGATACACATTTGTTTATTTTCCAACCAACTCTTCTCATACACATATATGTACACTTTGTGTGTGTGCGTGGGTGTGTATGTGTTTATTATTGATTTCTCAACCTGTGATCAGAGAGTGATTTTTTGTCGACATCCTCGTTGTTGTTGTGTGTGTGTTGTAGTACTTTCATTAATAACAGTAATAATAATAATAATACTAATGAGCATCTATTGTTGTTATACGTATATGTATATACATATGTCAAAAAGTCAATATTTTCATTCCATTTCTGAGTATTGTGTGTGTGTGTGCATCTGAGGGTGATGCTGCTCATGATGTTGGTGCCAGTAGTACTACTACTGATTCAGTGATGAAGTATCATTTTAGTCGTCGTCGTTACCTATCGTCATCTTGTTCTCCTTCTTTTTCTGTTTGATGAATAAACAACGGATGGATATAATTATATAAATATTCCTTATTATATCTTGATACTGCTACTCTCTCTTTCTCTCTCTCCGTGTTGATATATATGCGCGCTGCTGGAGTAGTAGTAGTAAATCTTTGAAGAAAAAGCAACATTTCCAGGGATCCAGAATATATATAAATACATACATGTGTGTATTTTGTGATCCTTTTTTTGTGTGCCTGTGCTAACAACTCTTAATTGTTTAAACAGACTAGCTAGCGCTAAAACTTTTCATCATCATCATCATCTCAGTTAGCCATTTTATTTCATATCACATGTGTGCTTCCAATTGAGTATTATTATTATTATTATAATTGTCATGTGTACAACATATATACACATATGCCTGATGCTGAGAATGACGCTGGTGATGACGATGAGGCGGAGGATTCTTTGACGCTTTCTTCAGAGTTTATTATACATATACACACACAGCTGAGAAAAAGGAGAATGTCTAGTGGATTCACACGCATACATACACGGAAGACACAATCAAAGTATTTCTTTATAATAGTATTCATAATAAAGACAACAATAAACAATTCGGTTGTGTAGACACATATATGTATACATATGCGTTTTATTATTGTTATTCCAAAAATGCCACCAAACTATCAAC